CTGAGAGGAATTTTCCTAGGAAAATTCCTTTCCTAAGAAGGAAGGAACCTGGGTCCTCCCTGGTGGCACAGCAGGTAAGGACACAGCACTGCAAATGAGCCACAGCTGCTTCAAGTTCGATCCCCGCCCGGGAGCTGACCCACATGACGCAGCAGGCCTCTCCTGACCTGCCCACTGTTCCCCTCAGCAGTGTACTTTGTCATTCTGCCTGTTCTGCTCCCCACTCTGTCTCTGGTGAATCCTCTCACCCCCTGCACCTCTGGCCTGTACCCCAGCTCTGTATGAATAAATAAATAAATCTTAAAAAAAAAAGAAGAAGAAGGAAAGAACCTTACAGGCAGCCTTCCAAGTGCAGACATCACAATAGGCCTTACTTTAAAGGTTCAGCACATAAAGCTGGTGTGCCTTATGGCCCCAACAGCATGTTTAATGTGTGGACCTCCTTTTTCCAAGCTCAAGAAGCGGTCATAACAATGGCTATCCTGCCAAGCTAAGTATTTAGGGCAGTGTCTGCTACATAAGCGGGTGATGGGTTCCAAATGCTCTTTCTTCGTCCTCCCTGCACTATCCACACTAACATTGTGTCAGAGAGTTCTGGGGACCATAGCTGAGGTGTGATGGCAGTTTTCTCAGTGAGCTACAGTCTGATGGGCAGTGATTCTCTGGACAAATGCTATGATCTTGTTTTGGCAGTGGGGCAGGACAAACAACTGTTTCCCAACTTATTTGGTAATTGAATGCACTGTCGTGGGTCTCATTTTTTCTGCCCTGGACGTTGTGCTGAGGCCTGCATGATGCTCTGGACATGGTTTCACATGGACAGGGTACACTGGTGCCCTTTCCCACAAGCCTGGGCTTCGAAGTAATATGTGAAACCCTTCTAGTTGATTCCCCAAATTGAATTGCCCCCATTGAATCCCATCCTGAAATGTTTTCCAGGTCTTATCATTCCTTCCTCTCCATTCCTGTTGGTTGTCTTAGTTCAGGCTTTTTGACTTTTTGCTTAGATTGGAAAAAAATTAGCAGTTTAACTGGTCTTCAAGTTGCCGACCTACTCTTCACTGGAATTCATTCTTCATTTTCATGAATTCTCTAAAACACAAATCAGATCATCTCATTCCTCTGCTTGGAAATCCCTTGGTGATTCCTTGATTTCAAATAAGGGCAAGAGGCTCAGACAATCTGGACCCCACCCTACATTTCCCACTAGCTCTCTTACCCTACCCCTTGCTGTCCTCCCTCCTCTTCCAACTGCCACCTGCTACCCCACCCCCACAGCCTCCTGGGACACACTACACAGACCCTGCTTCTTCCATATAAAAGGCTGTGTCAGGGCCCTCCCTGGTGGCGCAGCGGGTTAAAGCACTGCACTAAGAAGCTGAAGTCACTTCCGCATGAGTTCGATCCCCGCCTGCCCCGGAGGAGATCCACACGTGTGGCAGACCTCTCCTGACCCGCCCACTGCTCCCCTCAGCAGTGTACTTCGTCCATCTGCCTGTTCTACTCCCCGCTCTGTCTCTGGTGAAGCCTCTCAACCTCCTCATCTCTGGCCTGTACCCCAATTCTGTATGAATAAATAAATAAATCTTAAAAAAAAAAAGGTTGTGTCATCGGCTGTGCCTTGTGTTGGTTGCTCTGTCTGCCAGGCATGCCTACTTGTTCTACAGCTAAGGAGTAGTAAGCAGCAAGGAACTCTAGGTAGAAGACAAAGCAGTGAGGGCGGGGAAGGGAATGAAAGAGCATCACTAAAGCAGCACTGTGCTGGATTCCTATCTAGGAAGTGAAGGAGGAAAGAAAGGAAGGAAGGAAAGAAGGAAAGAGAGGGAGGGGGAGAGGGAAAGAGAAAGGAAAGAAAGAATGAGTGAGTGAATGGCTGACCACGAGGTCCAGGCTGTAGACAGGCAAGTTACAACAGATGGCCTGTGGAAATAGCTCAGAATTGTTTTCCTGTTACTCAAACGTTTTTCTATTTGCTTCCCCTGCCACTTCTTTCAGATCTCCATGTTTATATTTCTTCTAATTTGGAGAGTATTATAACGCTACCTCAGATGCATTTAACCATGCCATGCATAATTTATTCATTTCTCATAAATCAGTCTCTCTAACCATCTGGAAGACAAGAACCGCTTCTATTGCCTTTCAAGCTCCTTTTAACTCATCGTTTTAGTGAGAGCTGTTGTGCCTGTTAGAAAACAGAATCCTTTTGTGCATTCCACTATCAAATATCAAGGACTTTATGACCTTTTTCTGTTGTGGTTGCACATATTTCACATAGGAATTCTACTCTTTATAATTCTGCCTTTTATACCTGTGTATAGTATACCTATTGATTTCTCTGTCAAAGCTTGCTTTCTGCCTGGAAAGCTCTTCTTTCCACCAAACCTTTCAAGGCTGCACTCAAGCACACATATTCTGTGAAATCTTTTCTAATCCCTCAAACACACACACAGAGAGAATGTTTCCTATAGTAAGTTCTTGTAAGAGCTATAGCACTTATGATATAGAATTAAAAGTTATTATAATAATTATAGCTAACAAGTTAAAGCTAACATGTACTGAGCTTTAAGCTTACTGTCAAGTATAGTTAAGAATACAATTCAATTATATATTAAAAAAGAATACAATTTTGTAACAACTTTAAATCATGCAATCTAAGTACTATCATAAGTACTCAGGTGTCTATGTTTGGCTGGAATCTGCTTCTTGAAGTTCAGGATGATGCCTTAAGGCCTCTGCTAATGTCCTGGAAAGTCCCTGCAATGGCATATGTCCCTAGTGCAAATTTAGTAAATGGTTTATTCTGATGGTAGTTTCTCATTCTCTCTCTTTGAAGAATGGCAATCCCAATCACTTAACTAACCAGAAAGAATGTTAAGTAATTATACACATTTAATCTTAAGAGTGATGCAGTCTTTACTGGGTGCAAGAAACAGAAATCACAAAAGAAAAGGCTGATCTACTTGGTTATATAAAAGTGATAACTATTTGTAGATTCTAAAACACCAAGTTAACAAAGGCAAAGCAGAAATGGAAAATATATGTATTCAACTTATACCATGCAAAAGATGAACAATACAGAAAAAGGCCCCTATTTAAAAAAAAAAAATAGAAGGCAGGGAGCACACAGGTGTGTGGTGGTGACCCATGGGTTTTATGGGTACACTTTGGCAACAATGCCTGGAGGGAATCCTACACTTCTATAATGCAAACAAGGATGTAACCCAATATTGACACAATAAAAATATTTTTTTAAATAAGAAAAGATAACCATTCTATCAGAAAAATAGGATCATCCAAGCAGAAAGTTTCCAGAAAAAGAAATTAAATATAGGAAAATATGCTTAACCTTATTTTTTTTTACAAAAGTGAATATTAAAAAAAGTAATGGATTATATTTATTTACATTCCCTACAAGAGTGTAAAGATGGGCCCTCCCTGGTGGCGCAGCGGGTTAAAGCACAGCACTAAGAAGCTAAAGCCACTTCCACATGAGTTCAACCTCCGCCTGCCCCGGAGGTGACCACATGGCGTGGCAGACCTCTCCTGACCTGCCCGCTGTTCCCCTCAGCAGTGTACTTCGTTGATCTGCCTGTTCTGCTCCCCATTCTGTCTCTGGTGAAGTCTCTCACTGCCCCTGAGCCTCTGGCCTGTACCCCAGTTCTGTATGCACAAATAAATAAATTTAAAAAAAAAAGAGTGTAAAGATGAAAAACGAACACTAATCAGCACCACCAAGGCTGTGGAGAAGTGAGCACTCATGCTACAGAAATGTCCTCATATACTTAAAGGGATGTTCATAACAGTAAAAGATTGGAAGGCACTGAAATGTGCATCAAGCGAAGTTTGGTTAAGTAAACCACATTAAAATTCCTGAAATGGTAGGCTTCATTGAAAATGGTTAAGTAAACTATGTTACAATTCATAAAATGGTAGGCAGTCACTGAAAAGCACATTGTTACTGGATAACCAAATAACAGATGAGGGAGAATTCAAATTTTCTTTTTTTTTTTAAGATTTATTTATTTACACATACAGAACTGGGGTACAGGCCAGAGATGCGGAGGGTGAGAGGATTCACCAGAGACAGAGAGGGGAGCAGAACAGGCAGATCAACGAAGTACACTGCTGAGGGGAGCAGTGGGTGGGTCAGGAGAGGTCTGCCGTGTCATGTGGGTCAGCTCCAGGGTGGGGATCAAAATCATGCTGAAGTGGCTTTAGCTGCTTAGTGCTGTGCTTTAACCCATTGTGCCACCAGGGGAGGGTCGAATTCATATTTTCTAAACATATTCTAGATCATTTTGAATAAAACTGACCATAAAAGGGGGAAAGGATTTGAACATACACTTCATCAAAGAGGGTAGAACTGGCAAATGAACACACAAAATGATTTTCGACCTGATAAGCCCTTAAGAAAATACATTAAATCCATCATAAGATAACACTACTACAATGGCTAAAATAAAAGTTACTAAAAATATCAGGAGAGGCTGAGGAGGGGGGAAGTAGAACTAGTTCAAGTGTAAAATGGTAGTGCCATCATGGCGAACAGCTTGGAAGTTTCTAAGTTAAACATACTTACCACAGGGAGCTCTTCCCCACCCCCACAACCCCGTATCAGGTGTGCTATGTTGTACGAAAAAAGGGATGAACAACTTGGGGGAATTTCCAAGGCATTAAGTTGAGTGAAAGGTCAATCTCAAAAAGTGGCATATTATGCAACTCCATGGCTATGACATTTTCAAAAAGAGAAAACTACAAAGGCAGAAAAGAGATCCGTGGTTACCAGGGGCTGGGCAAGAAGGAAGATCTGACTGCAGAGACACAGCGAAGAGGAGTTCTTTGGGGTGTTGAGCTATTCTGCATCCTGTTAGTGGCATTGATTACAAGAAGCGATGCTAGTGTTAAAACTCAAGGAAGTAACAGAAAATAAATGAATTTTACTGCAGTACATTAAAAATCATTTTTACAAAAGATTAACTAACTGTCAGCTTTGATGATACCTTCTATTTCTTCATCTAACGGAGGAACATCATCTCTCATGGAGAAATCCATAGCTGTCCCTGGTATGTCCATCAAGTCTTCATCACTGGAGCTGCTCTGGAAGCTACTAAAACTCCCCTGCCGAAAGCCTCTTGTATCCATGGCACCTGTGCAGAAAGCAAAACAGGGTGCTTATTACAATGACCACTAGGTCCCTCATCACTTCTTTTTCTTTTTTATTGTGACAAATACGCATAAGGCAAAACTGGCCATTGGAACCATTTTAGACTAGGAAATTCAGCAGCATCACGTACACTTACAACGTTGTGCAATCATCACCACTATCCAGTTCCAGACATTTTCATCATCCCAGACAGAAATGCCTTTTCTAATTTATTAATTTATATATTGATTTGCACTATTGTTCATTTTAAAACAATGTTTACTTCCCCCCTTCCCCAATTCACCCACACATCATCACCACAGTCCCCCACATCCCTCCCTCTCCCTCCTCCTCCCCTGTAAGATATCTCTGTTTTGTAATTGTCTGTTGTTGCCAAACAGAAACTCTTTACCCAGTAAACATAATTCCCCATCGCACCCCTGAAGCCTCTTATAACCTCTATTCTCTGTCACTATGATTTGCTGATCTTGGACATTCCATATAAATGTAATCATACACATGTGGCCTTTGTGTCTGGCTTCTTTCACTTCTCATTAATTTATTCCGTTTGGGGACTGAATGACCTCCATCACACTCTAGTGTATCTTGTTTATCCATTCACCAATTCATAAACACTTGGGTAGTTATCACCTTTAGAGTAACCACTTATTCTTATGTCTTCATTTAGGTTCTTCTTTTAATAATACACACATGTAAACGACAGTATAATCAGTTACCCTCTAGATGTAATACACCTCTACTCCTACCATGTAGCTGGTGGTTTTTTTGAAAACCATGCAAACGAACAAAGCAAATGAGAACATGTGTACAAAACCCAGGGGAGTTCACAAGTAATCAAATGAAATAAAAACTAGACGTCGGTATTCAAAAAACACGCTAGCCATCTGGAGTGGCCAAACATTGAGCCCCTGGCTCTCCCAGAGCTCCTAATACTAAGTCAATGCACAGAAATACTGGATGAATGACAGAAAGAAATAGAAGCAGAACGTGCTGTTCAATGTCGTTCTCTTGTCAAGAATTTAATATTAATGATGAAACATTATCCACTCCCAAGTGTGAATCTTGAGATTTTAAATTGTACTAAAAAAATCTAAGCAACTTGTTTAGCTACTATTTAAAACAAAAAGTTCTATGCTTAATCATATGTTCAACTTCACAATACCTCACTTGTAATAAAGAGACCAGCCTAAGTGTGAGTGACATTTATGAACCACCTACTGTGTACAAACCACAGCAGACTACAAAAAGGATGCTGGGAAGGTCAGATGAGATAAAGATTGGGAGGCAAAGACTTAGGTGTTATCAACATCAAGGTGATGGCTGAAACCTACAGGCCACTCACTTATGAATAAGGACGATAACAAAGAAAAGAAATGCATTCTCAAATCCCTTCTATAGGACGCACAGCCTGAACTGTGCACAGATGTAAATTAAACAATAGATTTCCCAGGACTACCACTATGCTTCCATGGGGGGAGAAGGTCAGATAGGAAAGGGGACAGATTTACCACAAGGTAGTAAGAATCTTGTTCAGCTATAAAAGTGCTAACCTTACTGTGTGCAGCCTCAGTCCGGTTCTTTCACTACCTGCTAGTCCTTCACCATCGTTGCACCCTTCCCTTCTCAATGGGCCTCCTTCACATGCACACAAACACACTCACATGCATTCACTCACAGGCACACGTCCCACTCCTGCCCCTGCAACAATGAACTTACATGGGATTCCCTATCTCAGCTGTCACTTCTTGGGAACCTGACCTAGCACAAGCTCATTGCCAGACCTTTCCCATTACTAATAATATATAGAAAACCCAAAATCTCTTTTCCCTCCTGTCACCCAGGAAGAAGAATCTTTGTTCTTTATTGAGTACAAAAGAAAAATAGTCCCTCTGCTTTGCTCCAGATCTGACCGGGCCTGACTAACAAAATAGATTCTTCTCTTTATTCTGATTTACTCTATTTTACCCTTTCAGGAAACCCACTATCTTGAGCTCTGATCTCCACTTCAAGCTGTAGTCCTGAATTCACAAGAATGTCACTTAACACTTCTGTTGCTACTTCAGACTCAACAGGATGAAATGTAAGAACTGCAGAAATCACAGTAACCTAAACCTGATAAAACCCCAACAAGGGATGTACCCTGCCATCACCCCACCCCTTTAAACTTTCCATTTTAAATGCAGGTGGCATCACAGTCAATGTTTACAGTTAATATTTGTCTACTCTGGGATTTACTACATTCAATAAACCTACAAAAGGCACTCAATCTCAAGAGTAGCTATTCCAGGCTTCTAGAAATCTCAGCTGGAAAAAAGTACCACTTAGCTGATGAGAAGAACCATGGCTAATTGGGTAGCCCAATTCAAGAGGTTTTCTTTCTGTTAAAATGTATTCAATGCCCATATAGTGACTAGCAAGCAAGAAAATTTGCAAAGTGAAGCAAAATCCTTTCCCTCCCTCTCCCCACCGGCTACATTTTTTGTTCAGGAAATGATTTCAAATACAGTTACAGCAACTCTACATTAACCACACAAATCACAGGAAGAAAAAGTACAAAGAGTCCAAAAATAATTTATGTTTGGCTTTGGAATATGTCCTGTCATATAATATTTTCAAATGGGTGTAACTATTGTTCTGGGAATTCATTAAAATAAAATAATGACGCTACAAGATGAAGATTCCACAAAAGGGAAGCTGGAAACTTTTCAGTTTCCCTATAGGGACCTTACAAGTTCCTTCCTGTCACCCACTGACATAGAACAATCCAGTTAAATTGAGCTGCCCCATTCCAAACATTTCCTGGAGCAGCTATCTGGTTCACTGTTTGGATGCTTAAGTGCTTCCTCAATAAGTGCATAGAAATAAAAGGTCAACAAAGGAAAATCAGAAGAAGCAAGCAAATCAAGCAAAGCATGCTATAAATAGGAGTTCAACAAGAAAATATATATCATCAGTAAAATCCAAAGTGATATTGCCCATGGATAATCCATTCTGAAATGGTCTTTGATTTTATTTTTACAGACATACACAGAAGAAAAAAAATCAAGAGAAGAAATTAAAGCAGCAGAATGAGGAAACAATTCAAAGTTCCTTAAAGTTGGTATTAGAACCCATATCTAGTAGGCTCAGAGCTCTTTCCATATACTTTGGGGCCTCAGTATGATGTCAGTCCAGAGAATGGCACATCTGGAACAAATCAACCTCTGAATGACCATAAGCCTGAGGTCAGCCAGAATTTAGAGAAGGCGAGGACCAAAGTAAGGGGATTTGATTTATTATTCCAACTAGTGGATTGCATATAAAGCTTGTCATGTAACAGAGGGCAATCAGGAAAAAATGTTTGCTGGATTTTTGTGGTATACAGCTGACTCTTTGAGTGCTTTTTGTCACTTTCTTGCTTAAAATCATAAGCTGGCTCCCCAGTGACTACAGGGTCAAGTTCAAGCTTCTCTGGGTGACATTCAGGACCCTGTGAAATCCAGCTCCCATCTGCCCAGAGAGACTTACCTCCTCCACAAATTAGTGATACTCCATGTACATCATGTACTTTTTTTTTTTTAAGATTTATTTCTTTTATTCATACAGAACTAGGGTACAGGCCAGAGATGCAGAGGGTAAGAGAATTCACCAGGGACAGAGTGGGGAACAGAACAGGCAGATCAAGAAGTACACTGCTGAGGAGCGCAGAGGGTGGGTCAGGAGAGGTCTGCCACACCATGTGGTCACCTCCGGGGCAGGCAGGGATGGAACTCATGCTGAAGTGGATTAAGCTTCTTAGTGCAGTGCTTTAACCTGCTGCACCACCAGGGAGGGCCTACATCATGTACTTTTAAGCCTCTATGCCTTTGCTCAGCAAGTTTCTCTTCTGGAAGCCCACAAGCTGCCAACCCCCTTTCAGCCTGGTAAAATGCCATTCAGTCTATCTAGGGCCAGCTCAAAAAGACTTCTCCCGTAACAACCCCTTTGTTCAACATCCATGTTGACTGCATAATCTCTTCCACTTGACTTTTGTGACTATGCTGTCTCCTCATTTCTGTTATCCTAGCAATTCCAGTGCTGTTCCAGAGTAGGTGTTCAATAAAATGCTTATTAGAGGGTTCCAGTTGGGGAGGAAGGGTGAACAGCCAATCAACATATTTATGTGGCTGACACTCAATAAATCTCCGCCTTGCACTACGAGGGGAGGTAATTGGGGACACAAAAAACGTTTGTTGCTCTGTAACTACCTTCCAGGAATTTATGATCGAGTTGAACAGAAAACTTTCATTTAATGCAATTACACAAGAGCCAAATGTTTAACCATTAGAATAAAAGTAGAACTGGTATTCAGAAAGTGGAGCACAGACTGAAGCCAGAGGAGACTTCATGAGGAAAGAGGGTATTCCAGGTAAAGGGAACAAAATGGTGAAAGACAAGAGATGAGAATGAGGCTGGCGTCGATGCTGGACCAACGGGCAGAGCAGATATCTGAGCAGATGGGCGGTGCTAGGTGATGGAGGACCTGTGGTTTTTAAGGAGCAACATGACAAAACACATGATGTTAGGAGGAAAGTGCGATCAGTGGGCTGCGAGGGAGAATGAAAGGGCTAGGAAGGCAGTTTGCAACTTCCAAATTTCAAAGCAGGTAATGTGGGATAGAGGAAGAAAGGCAGAATCAAGGGGAGCAGTGCGCATTCCCAACAGCTGTACTGAAAGAGCCAGGCGGCAGTATGTATGGGATGGTGCCACGTGGTGGTGTGGCATCGTGTTGTGACATGTGTTGCTTCAAATAAATTAATAACTCTCATCTTATCTCCCCCATTTGGAGGAAAAGTGTGTAAACCAGTGCACATGACCCTTTAAATGAAAATATAAATAGATAACACATTTAAATTATTTCATATCATTCAATGCTAACTAGGACAAAG